ACTAGAACAAGTCATGCAAATCTCATTAGAATTATGATGAACATGGTTAGGGGAGGAAGACATTTGATTTACCGAATTTTGGTTGATTAAAAATTGATCAAACCTTTGAGATAAGACTTAACTTCGGCGGCTATGTCATTGGAATTGTCAACTTGATATAAGCCGACATTCTTCTTTCCACCTAGATTTCTACCATTTTTGGAAGATAAAGATCGATGCATTGAATTCTCACTCATGCTCTCATAAAGACGCCAAACATCATCATCATGCCTATCAAGATATAAACCACCCATGGAAGCATATACCATTCCTTTAAAATTATCCGACAAACTTTCAAAGAAAATTACACCAATGCCATTTAGGAATGTCGTGATGTGGACACTTCCTAAGCAAGTCATTGAGGCGCTCCCTTGCCTCATGAAACAATTCCCCTTCCCCTTGTGAGAATTCTCTAATTGAAGTTCTCATTGGATTGGTCTTTAAAACTGGATAGTACTTCTTCAAGAACTCTTGTTGTATTTCTGCCCAAGAAGTTATCGAAAAGGCCTAAGATTGTTGAACCAATATTTTGCCTTATCTTTAAGGGTGAAAGGAAAAATTTTGAGATCCAAAAATTCTTCTGGCATGTCTGTGTATTTCACAGTGGAACACACTTCAAGAAACTCATCCAATTGCTTATAAGGTTTTTCACTTGGAAGTCCATGATAGTTAGGAAGCATTTGAATGGTTTGTGGTTTAATTTCATAGTGGTATGCTCTAAATGGGGGCAATTGAATGCATGTAGGTGCATTATATTTATTTAGCACATATCGATCTCTTAAAGCAAGATGAGGATTCACAATTGGTGGCTCTACACGAGCACCATGATTCACTTGAGCAACGGGAGGTGGGGGTGGAACAAAAATTGGCCAAGGCATTCCCAATGGAACTTGGCCTTGTTGTTGTGCTGGAATGAAAGGCTTTGACGTGCCTAATGGTACTTGGATGTTGTCATGATGCACATTAGGGTGGAGGATCCCTTGTTGGTCTATGTGACCAAGGTCTTCCACATGATCCTCATTGATGTCCTCCATTGATGAAATGGAGTGATGAGCGCTACCCCTTCCCCTAGGATAACAAACAACGGATTCAAGATGAAAATCAAGTGGGATAAGAGTAGGATTTAACGACCAATGATCATCCATGCACAAACAATGCAATAACTAGCAACAAGCACGTAGCAAATAACAATCACTTAGCCTCCCAATAAATCAATCAACAAACCTCCACATATATCTATCCCATACTCCCATGCTTTGAACAATATGCAAAGAAGATAACTTGCCTCCACGCGGGCTCACGATTTATCTAAGAATTTAAAGACTTGCCTCCACGTGGACCGACGATTTAACTAGAGATCGAGTTAGAAAAGCTCACAAAGGGTCCTTAAGCAACTTCAAATTGTTTTTCAATTTTTGCTTTGCTTTGAAAATTTTTAGATTTTTAAACTTTTTATGCTCTTGCTTAGCTTTGCTTGCTTCTTGCTTTAGAATTTTCCTTTGTTTCACTTTCCCTGGCTTAATGCACCTAGCCAATCAAGAACAAACATAAAAAGTAACCAAAATAAAATAAAATAAAATAAAGACACGATCAAAAGAGTACTAATTCCTAATTATTTCCAAAATACAGCGTTGTCTACATCCCTGGCAAAGTCGCCAAAACTTAGTGTGTCACGTACCCAAAGCACCAAATTGCATGCAAAAGTCTGTAGTGTGACCAAGTTTAAATTTAGAAAATGTCACTACTACTTCTAACTATTAATACAGTTAGGGTAAGTAGGGATTGTCCCAAGGGAAAAAGAGCAGTATTTGTGCGGAAACAATGTTGGATTAGTAGGTCGAGTGATCAAAAGATGGGTTGTTGGTTGAGTTAAACTACAAATTAAACTAGAAAAATGCAATACAAAACAGCTAAATTGAGCAAAGTATAGAGAATGAGAGAGAGGTCTTGGGACCTAGAGGTCACCACTAAACATCACCTTCCTAGACATTCAATGTTTGATGGATGAGGAGAATTATGTGTTGCAATACTAGTGTCTATGTCATTAATTGAATCAACAAGCATGGATGACTAGATAAGTATATATTGTTTAGACAAACTAGTGAATAGCACAACATATCAAATTGAGCCATTATTCCTTCCTTTAAGTCCATAATCAACACACATCATTAAATTAGAGAAATATACTACTTGCATTCATAAGTATGGAATATCAAACAACAAGCATGGATTGTCCTCCCATCTAAGAAAGTAAAGCAACTAAACTATAACTAAGCTAATGACATGAAAATTAAACTAATTAAATTAAGGAAAAGGCACAATCCATCAAGAAATGAGTATGAACCATCAAACAAACTACAAGAGTATTACATTTAAGCACCACACCTTAACCATCACTAGATTCATAGCATCAACACACATAGACATGCATCAATATCACAAAACCTAGAGATAAACACATGAACATCTATTTTAGCATACATAGACATATGAATAGAATGAAATTATCAATTGGAAGTATTAAACTACACAAATCATGATAGAAACAAGATTTATATATATATCAAAGGTCAAGACAAGAGTTACAACACTAATCCCCATTAATTACAAACATCAAAGTCTATGAGGCATGCTTAGGGCTAGCTCTAACCCCAAGAAGATGTTTAGCCACTCATTGATGTTGTCATCCAACCATCAAAGGCTATCTCCATGTTAGAAATCTTCTTCTTCCTCCTTGTTGGAAACCCAAGAAGGGATGAAGAACTTTCCCAATTTGAGTATTCTCTCTCTAATCTCTAGCCAAGTCTCTCTAATCTCACCCCCCTCCTTACTCAAAATAGCTAAAATCCTTATATAGGTAGCTCAAATGTCACACCCAATGGTTAAACCTTGTGCACTAGGACCTCCCAATGATTGCACCATGAGCACACATTTAATTTGGCTTCAAATCAACTTTTTACGCAACTCGAGACAGTTCGATTAATCTCAAGGTTGTTTCAATCGATCGAACCATGGCGGCACCTTTCTGGAATAAAGACAAGGCTGAGATATTTTTGGGAAGAGGACAAAAGTGGTAGGTGCGGATAAGATCAAAGATGTTTAATTAATCGAAGAATAGTTGGATTGATCGAAGAAGGCATTTTACTGAGGATAAGGACAAAAGGCTCGATCCATCTTGGCATTGTTGGAACGATCACTGTAAAATCGATCTGAGATCTGTTCGATCGATCAAAGGGGCTTCCTTTCACCAACTTGCTTCCACTTTGCTCTTTTCTTCCATTGAGCTTGAGATTGCATCTTTTATGCTCTAATTCAGCTGGATTAACTTATTTTGGGGATAAGTGCCTGAAAAGGGAAATAACATGAAATTAAACTAAAACGAAAAAAAAAAGATAGAATAAGGTACTAGAATGTTCAAGCTTAAGGGGTTTAAATGCGCACTTTTTAGGGCTCATCAATACATCGAATAAGGAAGAATATTGACACTTACTCCTAAGTCCAAAAGAGACTTTTGAATTTCATGATCACCAATGGTGCTAGAGATTGTGGGAGCACCGGGATCTTTGAACTTAGGAGGAGTGTTATTTTGAATAATCGAGCTTACTTGCTCAGTGAGAAGAAATTTCTCTGAGATTTCCTCTTTTGAGTGCATAAGTCCTTCAAGAACTTGGCATAGGGTGGAATTTTCCTAATTATATCAAGAAGAGGATGATTGATTTTGACTTGTTTGAAGATTTCTATCATGTCATCAATTTTCCCTTGTGGTCTCCCCAAAGGGGACGAATCTTTTTAAGCTTGAGGAAATGGAGCCTTAGGCTCATATGGTTTCTCTAATGGAGGGGGAAAAGATAATGATGGACTTCTCTTCTTGTTATGCTCACTCTTTTTGGATGGAGTAAGAATAGATTGCGGAGTGGGTAATGGATAATTAAATAATTTCACTGGGTCACTCTCTTCACTTGGTATCTCTTGAACTATATTGTCAATGACTCTTCCACTTCTCAAGGTAGTGATGGCATGCACTTGTTCATGGTAGGAAGGTCCCACGATTAGCTTCCACTATGTAATGGGTCTTTGGGTTTGGCTCGGGTTGACTAGGTAACTTCCCTTTTTCTCTTACACTTATTGAATTTGCAATTTGCACAATTTGGGAATCAAGTTTTGCAATTGATTAGGAATAAGAATGTAGCAATTGTATATTTGCCTCAAGGTTACCCAAAGTGGCCAACACTTTGTCTTCAAAAGCAGAATTCTTTGGAGGTGCTTGAAAATGAGAATTAGAATTGAAACCGGAAGATGATTGATTGTATGGAATGGAAGAATAACCAACATTATGGTGAGATTATTGAGGTGGATGATATGGTTGAGAATGAAGAGTTTGATTGAATGCTTGACAATGAGGTATATGTTGCCCTTGAGATGGATTGGAAGTATCCAGACTTTGATTTCTCTATGAAAAGTTTGGATGATTTCTCCACCTAGCATTGTAGGTATTGGAATAAGGATAATTCCCGTGGTGAGAAAATGTAGCGTTGACTTACTCTTGAGGATCATGGGTAATTCTTCTTCCCATGGGACGATCCCTAGTAATATGTGAAGGATTAAAACAAATCAAGAAAATTTCATTTTGAATTTGAGGAAAAGAGGATGATGAAGTTACCTAGGTTTGACTCATCAAGAATTAGTCAAACCTTTTAGTAAGATTTTTTAGTTCCGCAGCTACCTCCATAGACTTGTCAATGTGATAAAGATTTTCAATTTTCTTTCCCCCTAATATTGACACACGACCCAATCAAATAGAAGAAACACGATGCATAGAATTTTCACTCAAATTATCAAAAAGAATCCATAAGTCATCTTTTTGTTTTAGTAAGAAAGTACCCCCACATAAGGCGTCTACCATTTGCCTATGAGTGTCGAACAAGCTTTCATAAAAACAATGAACAAGTTGCCATTTTGGAAGGTCACGATGTGGGCACTTCCTTAGCAAATCATTCAATCTTTCCCAAGCCTCATAGAATGGTTCCCCATCATTTTGAGAGAATCCCATAATGGTCGTCCGCATATAATTTGTTCTACTTGTGGGGTAGTACTTCTTCAAAAATTCTTGTTACATTTAAGCCCAAGAAATGATTGTATTCACCCCAAGGTTATTAAACCAATACTTTGCCTTTTCTCATAAAGAGAAAGGGAAAAGCTTCATCCTTAGAGCTTCTTCCGAAAAATTGGTGATTTTCACGGTGTAACATACCTCTAAGAACTCATCTAAATGTTTATACGGATCTTCATGGGAAAAACCACTAAATAATGGATACATTTGAATTATTCTGGGCTTGATTTTGTAATGAATAACCCAGACATTTGGTAAATGGTAACATGTGGGAGCAATGTAAACATTTGGAGTGTATTGATCTCGAAGAACTATGGGAGGATTGGGAAGAGGATGTGCTACATGAGGTGGTTCGGGAAGAATCTGAGGAATGCCATTTTATGCCATTGAATTAATTGGATGGTTGCGAATGGGAAGAGGTCTCCTTCGACAATCTCTCAATTCCTTAAGAGAATAATCAATTTCTAGGTCAAAGGGGAATAAGAGGATTATGAAGAGATCTCCTTCCAAGTATACACAATAAAGCACACAAACAACACAATCACAACAACTTCACCACCAAAACATCCACATACGATGCTCCCGTTCTCCTCAATTCAACAATATCACAATGCTTAATTTAAATTGGCCACGATAAGGACCAATGCTTGAATAAAAAGTAAACAATTGATTACCTCAATGAGGACTATCCAATTATCAAACTAAAAGGTACACAAATGAAGTTCAAGAGTTCAAGATACGCTTACAAAGGTCTAATGCATAATGCTAAGATCCCAAGCTTGATTCTCTTTCAATCAAGTACCTAATTGCACACAAAAACAATAGTAATAAAATGATACGAAATGATTCCTAAACTAGCAATCAAATGAACACTAATATTAATTCCAATTGAACTGCAATCCTTGGCAACGGCGCCAAAAGCTTGATGCGAACTCGTGGGTGCATAAAATATATGTATAAAATGTGGTAATCGAGAACACCAACTTTTAAATTTATAAAAGCCACTACACAAGTATATGTGAGTATAACGAGTAAGGATCATCCACTAGGATTATAGGCTTAGATTGAACTTAGTTTTAATGAGCGTGAGATTGAAAAGATGATGATTGGTTAATTAAACTAATATTGAAATTCAATTAAATGTAAATTGCAAATGAGATTATATGAAAAGAAATTGGAGTAATGTAATGGTGTGAGGTTCGTAGGGTATGGATTTCACCACTAAACTCATGGAATTGCATTAAATGCCTTCAACCAATGGGGAAAATAAGTTATAATGAAAATGTGGCTACAAGCACACATCTATAACGACCCGAACCCGGAGGTCCGAATCATTATCCGGGTCCTTACCCGAACCCGAGGTCATCTAAGGGCATTACCATCATATTTAATATCAATTCATCTTTAATACATCATTCTGAGGTTAATGGTACTTCACTACATCACTATACGACTCGGGGTTGGTTAAAAGGAGAAAAGAAAATGAAAGTAGAGAGGGATAGGAACCTGTTGACTTAAAGTAGGGACACGTCGACTGGTTTGTCCCTAAGAAGCCCAAAACCCCACTGCAAGATACCAGTTGACGTGAATCCCTAGACGTCGACCTGTTTGGCCTGTGTTTGCCTATATGAAACGCCGGCGCTCCTTTGGTCCATTAGAGACCTTAAATGCAGGCTAAACCTATCCTGAAAACATGTATATGAAAATATAAAACATAATTAAACATCATTGCATTCGATTAAACCGAAGATGAGTCTAATACATCATTTAATGTTAAATGAGCCTAGTCAAATCAAATGGTGGCCTTTAAGGCCTTACATGTACATAGAAATCCTAATGAGACCACAGAACACAAGAGGATAGTCTCAAGACCATTTCTATCCATGAAATAGATACAAAACGTCACTTGATACAAATTTACAACAAAATGGAAGTATGTATATCAATTACAAAAAAGGTCCAAGTTCCTTTCAACCAGTCTAAGCTTGTGGTGGATTGTCGTTCGCCACTTCCTTTTCGTGACCTGAAATTAGTAATGAAGGGGTGAGCACAACGGCTCAGTAGGAGGTGCCTAAAACACAGAATCCAAACAAAGCATAGAAAATGGGAGTACAGGATCATGTTATTTTGGGGAAGAAAAACACCAACAACAAGGTCAATCCAAACCATATACATAATGCAATGCCAATGGTATGCAATGAGATGTTAATGTCGCTCCCCATTTTTGAAATCCTTTTTTTCGTCCATCCTTTTCAAACTATTAATGCAACCCGACCCATCGCAACTCCATGGCGCCACGAGAGAAAGATTGGCTAACTATCCCTAACCACATGGTAACTCCAAGGCGTTATTTGGGGCCTAGGTAGCTCAATCACGCTAGGGCCATCTCCCTAGTTTCCTCTAGTTCGTATTAACACAACGGACCCTAAATAACTCCTAGGCGCCCAGGTTTTTCACAAACCTCTTTTCAAAATCTTTCCCCAAATCAAATTTCTTTTCTTTTCAAGTCAAATTCCTATTTCAAGCACAATGCCATTCATGAATGCTTCATGTTATTCAATGCCATGCCAATAAACAATTTCACACACTACATTCAAATCTTAACGATGTAGCATACTTTGTAAAATATTTCTATAGATATACATCATGCTTTTACATCTTGAGGATCCGGCACTTTTAACATATAAAGCATGAAATTTCTTCACTTTAGCATAAATCTTCACATCAAAGCAACTAACACATAGGCATGCTCATTATTTACAACATAGAAGTCATATTTCAAGAAAAATAACACAATTTAAATATGTTATATATCAATTTAAGAGAATTAACTCACAAAGCTCAAAGAAATGGGCTTTAGAAAACCCCTACCTCAATAGAAGAGCAAAACTAAGAAAAACCCCCCAAATTTTTGATATCCAAAGGTGCTCCAATTGAAGATCACCTCCTATTAAATCGAAGCCCTCGTCGAGCTCGTAAACTTTGTCTTCAGTGACAAAGTCAAAATCAAAGTGGAAGCCTTGAAATATAATATTTTTAGAGAGAGAAAGCTTTTAAAGAGAGAGAGAGTGGCTTCGGTTGGAGAAGAAGAAGAAAATGGTAAAGTAAATCATTTGCAAATAGTCATCAGTGGCTCCCACGAGTCAAAATATCTTCCTTTTTCCACCTTATGTACATATATAAATATACATGTGATATAACACTTAAATAACCACATATCCATATAAACATGCACTAAACAATGATATAAGAAATATAACGGCCTTGAAAAATAATCCCCGTGCATGACAAATTCGGTTGCAGGTCTCACCCGAGACCTCCTGGCCTGAAAAACTAAAAAATGTTGAAACGGCTAACAATACATTTCTAAGAGTCACAAACTCAAAGAAATACACCAATTAACCCTTGGAACTCACCCAGTACACCCCACGGTGCCCAACACGCAAAACAAAGTGAAGACTAAAATAATCCAGAAAATTCAAAAAATCCCCGAAAAATGAAAAATAGGAAAAATGATAAATATTACATATCAATGATCAAGTAGATAATACAATTGCAATGAATAAGCATAAACTATCAAATTCAAGTATGATTTGTTTACCTAACTACCAATAATCTAAGATGTAGACCAACCCATCAAGACTAAACATAATTCATTAAACTAAGAGCAATTGTATCCAATACGAACAATACGTGGCCATCATTAAGTATAATTACAAAAAGAACTCAATGTAGAGATCAATCCTCCATCAACCACATATAAGACAACATCTACTCAATTAGAGGATCAATTGAAAGAATTATCAATATAAATCTTGGTACAACCAAGTTAGAATTCATAAAACTAATCAAACACATATACAACTTATAATTCCCCAAATTAGAAGAAAAAAGATACAATTGCACAAGCTTAGGGTTCATCTAAGCCTAAAGTGATGATTCAGCTGGTCATAAAGGTGATGGATGTGATCTTAATGGCCTTAATTCCCATCTCTATACTTGACTTCATCTTCTTCTTCCTCCTTAAGAGCTAACCTTAAAGAGAGAGAAAGAAACCCCAATTGTAGATCTAGAATTCCCCCAATTTAATCCAATGAATAATCAAGAACCTCCTTCAAATTGGGTTATATCTTCTATTTATATATTATTTAAAGACTCCAATAATGGTCAAACCCGTACACAAAGACACTTGATGGATTACACCACGAGCCCCCTTGAATCAAGGCTTAAAATCTTATTTTCGTAACTGTTAAGGACTAGGGTTCTTGCTTGATCGATCAGGCTTGATCGTTCAGAGTTCTTGCTCGACTGATTAGGGTTCTTGCTTGATCGATTAGGCTCAATCGTTCAGAGTTCTTGCTCGATCGATTAGGCTCAATCGTTCAGAGTTCTTGCTCGATTGATCAGGCTGAATAGTGAATTCTGCACTTCAGTGTTCTTTTGCTTCCACTCCTTGCCAAGACTCCGTTTGACCTTCCCAAGGGTTTTAAGGCATTGGATTTAGCTCATTTAAGCCTTATGAACCTAAAATCAGAAATAAAACAATTTAAAACTAAAATGGCAAAATAAATATAGATCAAGGTTCTAATATATCCAAGGTAAAGAGTTGAAATTCGCATATTTTGGCACTTATCAGACCACAAAAGACTAATAGGTAGCCTCAAGACTATTTTTATCCAAAAAATAATTACATATACCGGTCATACACAACTTATAGCAAAAGGAATTATATAGCTATTACAATTAATCATTTACATCAAAATTACAAGTTCAAAATAGAGTAAAGGCCTAGTCTACAAAAAAAAAAAAAAATCCATGGGGCTATCATAGAAAAGGTTGTAAGTCGTCCATTACCTTCTTTCTGATTCCTGAAAAATAATAATAAATGGATGAGCACAACGGCTCAATAGGAGGTGCCTAAAACACACTCCTTAATGATCCCGTGAATTACATGTAA